AAAAAACCAGCGCCGCGCTACGCGAATCCTTCAAGGTCATCCCAGCGCATTCTTAGTTCGCGAGTTAATCACGTTGAAATATGCGGCGCTGGCAGCGTCGCAGCTTTCACCGCTCCACCCCAGCTTCCGCCGGCTTCTCCCATTGACCAGACTATCTCTATACACGCCTTTGGAAACGAGTGCATTAAAGCCTCCTAAAATCCCTTACGACAAGAGAACACGCTGGCGCCATCTATGCGGGGAGCTTGAAACCGCATTTGATTGCAAAGGTTTGGCGCTATTGGCGAGGTCAAATGTATGTATACTACTTATGAGAAATGGTCGTTCATAGTATTGGCAAAAGTATTTTTCAAGCCAAGAAAGAAATAATTATAAGATATAGAACATATACCCGACGGCCACGTGTTCCACTACTACCAGAATGGTGATGCCAGTGTGTCCTCTCGTCGTCAGAGATTTTAAGAGGTTTCAAGGCACTCGGTCTTAGGAAGTCGCAAGTTTGTGAACGGGCCTTTTAAAGTGAAACGAAGTGCATTATGGTCTGAAACTTCTGCAACGCTTTCAGGCACTGTTTGCGTTCATCTTCTGCGCTGTTGTGGGTACCGTGTTTGGCGGCGGCCTCGGAGGAGGTCACAGCGTCATCGTACTCAAGGGAATCCACAGTGGTGGATTTGGCAGCGGTGGCGGAGGCAACGGTGGCTTTGGCGGCGGGTTTAGTGGAGCAGGAGGAAATGGAGGCTCGGGACAGACGCATGTCGTCCAAGGCCCCACGTACCTCGTCAAGACACTCCACAAAGTCAGCAAAGTTTCCCATGGGGGTGGATCGGCGGGTGGATTTTCTGGTACCAGCTTTGGCTACGGAGGAGGATTCGGAACCACCTATGGAGGTGGCTTGGGCGGATATGGGTCAAGCTTTGGAGGTGGCCATGGAGGCAGCCACGGCGGATGGTGGTAAGTTGAAAAAAAATAACAATTAAAAAAATTATGAATCGAAATTCTTTTATTTATACCATGTTTATTTTATTTAAATCAAATTGAAATTTATAGTTAAATTCATTGATATCACTGTAGGTCGAAAACAGTGATTTTTATCACAAAATATATGTTTAAACATGGCAGATTAAGTGGCCAGTCAGTATGATCACTGATAATTATTGCGGAAAAAATGTAAATTTAAAGTAGTTTAATTGCCTTTTTGGTAATGTTAACCTGAAATAACCGAAAAAAAATTCGTGGTTTTATTAGAAAAAAAAAAACGTTCCATTTCCTTTCTCTTTCGCGTTCTGATTTGCTTTACGCAACTGACGAACGAAGTGGAAGGAAGAAAGTTCAACGCTCCGATTGATCAGAACACTGCTTTTTGCTTGTGTTCAGCGTGATATAAATATTCCTTACTTGATTATTTCAATTACATATAAAGACATGTACACAGCAAGGATCAAATGATAGATAAATTGCTAACAAAAACATTTCCTGGACTGTATTGGGGAAAAGGTTTGATTTAAATCATTATTGTAAAGCTGGTCGGATTTAAATCCCGATTTAAATCATTATTTAAGACACGATGTAAATAACCTTGATTTTTATTATCTACCCTGCTAGGGAGGTAGCCTTTGCGCTGAAGGTTTGTTTCACACAGTCAACGTACATACATATTCATAAATGCAAAAAATGTTATAGACACTCTAAGGTTTACTTGTTGCTTGCGAAGTTTTAATATTATTGTTAAATAAATCAGACGAAAAGTTTTCATATTTGATCGATATAACATATAACACCACCATAGATCTAAAATTATTGACTGCGCCGCACTGTAGGCACTTCCATTTTATATAATCCGAAACACAAAATACACATAGGCAGCGTCAGGTCGTCACAGTGTCATGTGTCAATTTCGAGTTCAATGTTTTTCTGGCTGTGTCTGTTTCATTACCATATTTTTTCCTTGCCTGTAGGCCTCACAGTGGCTGATGCAAGAAATGCAGAAGTGGTCATTGATGCCGAGCCTCTCAAGGAGCGAAATGAGACCATGGTTCACCATCTGTAAATGCTGTAAATAAAAGGAGAAACGCTCTGAATTGCATAACTGCTTGAGTTCTTCCCAGATTGATAGCGGCCGGGTTAACCTCGCCGAGGTTTGGCGTCTCCTGGCATAGCTTGCGCCGTGAGAAAAGGAGAGTGCTTCTTCTATATTGTACAAGGGAATACGGTAGGCGTAAACGGATTACAAGATTGTTATTCATGTAGCTTTTTACTGACCAGTATTTGTTACAGTTTATTTTCTTATATTTTTTTTAAGCTTTTCGTAAAGACAAACGTCAAGAGTTTTCTTTGAATTTTGTATGCCTAACTATTCACGTGTTCAGATTTAAACATTTTAAATGTGCAAATTCTCCGTACCGGACCAAGTTTGGTGCCGTACGAGGGGTTTCTAGAGGAAGAATGAAACGTGATGTAGTGTAGTGTTTGTCATTTACCACATTATTTAACAAAACTAAAGCTGACTATAAGGTTTTTTATTGTGGAACAACAAATGTAAACAATCCACCACGGAGACTTAGTTCCCCATATAACGCAAATCATGATCGACCATAGAAAAACACAAAGTAAATTAACTACCTAACCTTTCAGGGGAAATCTGTGTCGGAATTTGCATTAAAATGATATAAAAAGAGAAACATGCGTGTATCTGATGCACAAATTCACAAACTGGTAAATGCCATGTCAAAGAATTTTTATTTTATTTGCGAACTAAACGCACCTAGGTAGGAGGCATGCACACACGTTTGGTCCTAGCACTCCATTCTTGACATGACCTATTTATGTAGCATAACTACCATTTAAACTGCAAATGAGGTGGTGTAGTTTGTGCCTCTTGGGCTCCACTTAGACTGCCGTAGTGCAAGAGTTGGTGACCCACGACGATGGAGGTATACAACCGGGGTCGAGATAACCTGTCCGCCGAATCCGACTGAACACAGAGCCGGCCGGGCCTGTCGCCTCATGATAACACTATTGGTAAAGTCGTGTGGTCTTTGCTAACATGTACGAGTAAAATTTGAGCATGTTCCAAACATGTATTCAAATTATAAAAGAATTTGTAGATGGGCAAGTTGGTACATCTTAGGTTCTAAAAGCGCCAAAAAAAAAAAAAAAAAAACACGCACACACACAAAAAACAACGCCAACAGGAAGAATTGACGAAACGGAATGTTTCGTCCAATTCTTCCTGTTGCCCTTGTTTTTTTGGCTATTTCTGAATCTAAGATGTATTCGAAAAAGTTGTACGGTGCAGTGTACCCTTTTGCATTCCTAAGTATTTGGCCAGAAATTTTTGTTTGTTTGTTTGTTTATTTTATTTTTGACACAATTGTCAATGGGGTTCGGACAAAAGGAGAATACAATCACCTGACTGAGTCCCAACCCCTGTAACAACACTCAACAGCAGGACACAAATCGAGAGAGAAAAATAAAATAAAGAGCCAGCTCACAGCACAAGTCAAGAAAGAAATTATTTCATCCAGCTAAAAACTCTTCAGCTTAAAAAATAAAATAAATAAAGAACACTGATTAATAACACAACTCGCTAGGTATCTACACAAGTAACATTAAAATATTCTCTTAGGTATTTTTTTAAATGAAACAAGGAAGTGATTTCCTGGGCCATCTCATACACGCAATAATGCTTGTTTAGGATATCTGTAATTTGGAAGGATAATTTTTGAGTACCGTAATTAGTTCTCATTTTTGGTTTTGGAAACTGCTGGTGCCTCAGGTTGTAATTTGTTTGCTTGGGTAGGTACATCTCGTGAAAGATGTCAGGATCAATGTTAATTTGTGCATGAATTGAAATCGCCACATTTAGACAAAAAAGGTTATCTACCGTAAGTATTTTATGTATATTGAAACTTGAAACTATGTTTATTGAAACTTGAATATTATTATTATTATTATAGGAAGTAGATAGAAACCGGGTCAATTTATCAATTTGCCGAGCCGTGCGTTTTGTAATGTAAGTAATTGCTTAATATTATTTCCCGTGGTTGACCCCCAAACCAATAATCAGTAATAACCCCCTCACCCCACTAGCATGAGTAATAACTGCTGCTGTATGCTGGATACAATTTTAATCAAGTGATACAACTATGAAGTGGACCTACTTACTTTTCAATAAGCAAAGGAATTTTTAAAATAAAGATAGAAAAATCTAATTAGAGGTTGTCTGACCTTCATGTATTACAAACAACAAGCGTGTTCTTAAAGTTAGACGTAGATACGAACCTGAATATTATATTTTGTTTAAGTTCGTGTTATCTTGCTGCTCTGAGTGCAAACCCAATTACTGACTTACAAAAAACTCTCACATTGCATTTTTACTGCAAAGCAAATTCCTATAGTAAATGAAATAAAGAAATAGTTATTTTCGGAATCATTACCCTTTTTTTTAATCAAAATACTACTAAAATATCTTTTATGGTCTAAAGCGAGAGAAAGAACGTTAAAAAAGGCTTTATGGACCTCCGACAGGTATGCAAGAAAAACATCCGATAAAAATGTGTAAAAAAAAAAAAAAGTCATAATGGTTGAGATGAACTAGAACGGAGGAAAATTGCAGAAATCTACGTTTTATTTTCATTATTCTGGCTTCCGACCGTGCTAGCAGGAAGCCGGAAAACTCTGGGGCCCTCACGCACGAACTGTACCGAGACCAAGTGTCTTACGTGATCTAGAAAGCAGGAGCACCAATGGAGAAAGATCTTGTCCACGCCCAGTGCAGCGTAACAATGTCTGCTTCCGAGGCATTCCTAATCTAATCATCTATCAAACACATAAATGCTGGTTTTGAGAGGAGGAAAAAAAAAAAGAAAAGAAAGTGGGCGGCCGGGACGGAAGTTTGACAGCGAGGTGTATAAAAGGGTGATGCAGATTTCCAGATGTACACACTTTGTGGTCCGAGTTCAAGCGGCAGTCTTGAGGACGTGACGAACAATCGTGCAAACATGAAGGCCCTGGTAAGTCATTAGCGAAATTTACGCCCTCATTTCTGAAAAGTTAGGATGGGAAGATGGTGGTGAAGAGCGTGAATATGGAAAACCCAAGAATACCGGGCGGAATACGAAATGAAAGTTGGTACTTATCCAAGAGTCCCTGCTTCAAAGAAGCAAGGTTTCTTTGTGAAGTGCGTAGCATACAGAATGTTGAAATTTAGTATCCTTCAACAAGAGTAACAGTGCGTTTATATGAAGGCATGTAATCTCATCTGATACCATTATAATAGTTATTAAGTCCCCTGCAATTTCGCTGCTGCCAGGTTCTGAGAATACCGGATATGTCGTCCAAACGTTTTCGCGAGTGTCAACGTACATTTTTCGAGACTGTATACCTATATTGCAGCCTTTGCATTGATTTCTTGCCGGTTATACACTATAATCACCAACAAGATGAGAATATCCGGAAGGAGTTTGATCTTGTTCGACAGCAGCTTGAGACTGCTGTTCTTTCTAGTGACACGAGGTTGCATGCACGCACGCATCCTTGCATGCAGAAAGATCATGATCTAATTCAGGACAGCAGAAATACCCCGTAGTCGGGTTATAGATGTTAGTGTGTAGGCTATATCGACCACACTGGAGGATGACAAGATGTACCTTGACAGCTCCCAGTGTGTATAGTGTATAGTGTGTATAGCCCGGCTCGAATCACCACACTGTATGGTAATGATCCAAGCTTGCTCCTTTCTGCTTCTTGAGTATGACTTCTTTGTCTTCAACCACAGCACGTGTCCTGGCATAATTTTTATGTTAGCATTGATGTCACTCTGAGTGCGCGTGCTAAATATGAATAACATAGGGTTTTAAATTGATGCAATAAGGCAGGATACATAATTTCATAGGTCATCTCAACATACGTGAAGTACACATTGTAGTAAAACGTCATTTACAGTACACGAGTGGAGTGTTTCGTATAATTTGGTGTGAAAGTGGTTCGTTCGGGCATTGTTTTCTACATCATGTTTAAGTACTCTCATACCCTGCACAGTGAAGACTTCTTAGAAAAAAATATTCAGACGACTCACAAATGATATCTTAGGCCTACCGATCAGTTTTGACACGAAACGCGATTCTTTTTTAACGATAGGTAGTTTATGAAAGCTTAATATAAACCACATCTATCAGAATAGAAAGTTGGGCGACTTGCTATGAATCCATTTTGAAAAACAGCGCGAATGGTACACGGACAAGAAGGAGAGAACACTCAGGACGAGCGCCTCATCCTGTGTGTTCTCTCCTTGTCCATGTGACATCCACGCTGTTTTTCGAAATGGACACATTTATGAAGCGTAATTTTTGACGCGGTGATATCTCGTTGATATGGACACCTCCGTTCCCCACAAAAAGGTTCCTAAGTCCATAATGTGGGTTGTCCATAATAACGAGACAAAAATGCCTGTATTAACCCAGTTCATTCCTGAAAATGTTGTGCATATAGCGGGGTATCTGTACTTACCGGGTCCATATTAACGAGACTTGACTGTATATGTTACGAAGCACTCACTAACGGGAACTTATTATATTTTGATGGGATGACGGCATTTGAGACAAATGAACTATGGAACATTTCGTAGACTGGATGGTCAAATGTATGCTCAAAATACTAATGAATCTAATTGTAAGCACGTCTGTGTACTTGAAAGTCATCCTTATTTCTGTCAGTGTTGAAACAAAGTAAGCCACCTTTACAAAAAAATAAATAAACACCCCAAATGGTTGGGACAAGAACAATGTCTGTACCATGAGGTCGTTGTTGTCCACAGCACATTTTTTTGTAGTGAATTAGCCATATATTTATACCCGATATTCAAGGAGAAAAGAAACGGTACGTTACCGGATTGCCAACTAGAGTGTTAGAGTGTATAACGAGAACAATATTATTGTCGCGACCATACTGTTTAACACCGTTGCACGGATGCTCTTTTGGAGAGAATATGGTGAGATATGTAGCAGCTGCCGCCACACACGCCGATAATGAGTGGGACCTGCTACATCCCGGGCTTTCTTCTCTCGCAACGCACTCTCACCCGCACTAATGACAGCAACGTCGTGCAGGTTGTCGTCCTTGGAGTGAGCGTTCTGGTCGCAGTCGCAATGGCGGGAGGCTACGGTGGCCACGGCGGAGGGCACGGAGTCCTCTTGCTGGGAGGTCATGGTGGAGGCGGCTTCGGTCATGGCGGAGGGCACGGCTACTCCAAGATCGTTCATGGTCCCTCGTTTCTAGTGAACACGGTGCATCACGTGCACAAAATTAGCCACGGGGGAACCATCATTAGCGGTCATGCCGGTGGATACGGTGGCTATGGCGGCGGATATGGCGGCGGATACGGTGGCGGGCACGGCTTGTGGTGAGTGAATTGGCATCAAGAAATTTCCAACTAGTAAGCATGGACAGACAGAAACCTAATACAGCATATTCAACGGGCATACTCTTACTGTCATCGAGGAAACAAAAATAAAAGATGCCTTGTTCACAAGGCTTCCATTAGTATGGGAGGAGTCCTTAAGCATCCTCCGATATTGGGACCACAGGAAGCGACAAAACATGTACTTTACCATAGATATTCGAGCAATGTTTTTGTATTTGCTTTTGTAGAATCATAGATATGATGTTGTAAGATAGGAATTGAACTTTTTCAGGTATTTTTTCATCTAAATTATGGCTAATAAACCACAAAAAATCTGTGGCCTACAAAAACAAAGCTTCTCGAGTTGAATTTTTACATCTAGCTTCTTGTAATTGCATATAGCGGAGCTTTAAAAAGTTAGCTTAAAGAAAGAGGCGTTCTTGGGCTCCCGTTCTGCTACACCATCAAATAAAAAACTTCCTGCAACTTAGTAAATTATTTATATGCGCAGTTCCTAGTGTCTCAATTTCATTTTTTTGTTGCTTTCAGGTAACGAAGTTGGCAAAGGCACGCGAGTAGAGAAGTTCCGGGAAAGACAAAGTCACTTGACGAAAGAATGCCCGGCGATTTTTGTATACTTTGTAAATAAAGACTCCAAATTGACCTAATGCCTTCGACAAAAATTGCATGAACGCAATTTAGAGAAATATGTAGCAATATGTCATCAACCATCATCCTCATTTTTATTACTTGTTGAAGGCACTTAAAGGCTTTGCACAAAAGGGGGGGGGGGTTGCTGTAAAGCGTTTTAGAGCGCAGCTCTTAGGCGCCCGTTTCCGGCTTGAGTGGCGTCGGCGTCGCCGTCGCCGTCGGCGTAACCACGCGTAACCCTCGTAACCCTCGTGAGGGTTACGAGGGTGACTCTCAGGAGGGTTACGGGGTTACTCTCGCGAGGGTTACGAGGGTAACCCTCGTGATCCTCGTGAGGGTAGCAACCCTCGTAACCCTCGCGAGGGTTACTCTCACGAGAGTTACGAGGGTTACTCTCACGAGAGTTACGAGGGTTACCCTCACGAGGGTCACGAGGGTTATGAGAGTTACCCTCACGAGGGTCACGAGGGTTATGAGTTACCCTCACGAGGGTCAGGAGGGTTACCCTCACAAGGGTTACTAGGTTTATGAGAGTTACCCTCATGTGAGAGTAACCTTCGTAACCCTCACGAGGGTTACCCTCACGTGAGAGTAACCCTCGTAACCCTCACGAGGGTTACGAGGGTTACTCTCATGACGGTTGCGAGGGTTACCCTCAAGAGGGTCACGAGGGTTATGAGAGTTGCCCTCACGAGGGTCACGAGGGTTACCATCACAAGGGTTACTAGGGTTATGAGAGTTACCCTCGCGAGGGTTACCCTCACGACGGTCACGAGGGTTACCCTCACGAGGGTCACGTGACCCCGTGATGTCACGTGATCCCCCCCCCGTCGAGGTCACGTGACCTCAGGGAGTCACCTATCCCTCAGTACCCTACCATCCTATCCCTCAGTACCCTTCCATCCTTCTCCTCAAGAGCTGCGCTCTAATCCGGCGTTACAGGGAGTTGTAAACGGCTTTCATTTTTTATATAAAAGCAAACACAGATACAACACATATATTTAAAGAAATAAAAAAACAACTGAGATGTCACGTGCAGTAAAATACACAAATAAAATATAAATACTAATGAAGTCTTTGCAACTAGTGCTACATTAAATGTGCGGTTAGTATTGAAATAAATGCGGTGTTAGGTGAGAGGGTCACAATACTGTTAGGTAAATTATTACAGTTAGCTATTGTTAATGGTAAGATGGAGTTAAGGAATGAGACAGTTGAAGCTGAAATTGGGGGAACTTTACAGACGTTATCAATGCGTGGAAATATGTGAGTGGGTGGGAATAACAAGTTATGATGTCCTGGTTATGATAATAAATCTTGTGAAAAAGATACAGGCGTGACAATGTTCTAAATAAAATTATATCGATGTTAGATTGACCCAGAATTGAGCATTAGTTGTCAGTTATAACACTTGCTAAAGAAGACAACAAAAAGGGGCAAGATTTGAAGATCTGTGGTAATGTCTTCATTATAACAAAATACACTAATAGATTGAACATCTAAAAAAAAATTGTTGAGCCTGAGCTTATGAAAAAAACTGTGGAATCACCTACAAAGTTCTTCCTCTTCAAATCCGCTTTGTTTGGCTTCAGGACTCAGGATCTCGACACTTTACTGATCATTTTGAAGCATTTTAGGATTGGGCATTGCGACCCTTTTGAAGGTTCGTCGCTTCCGTTCTGAGCTGCGACACGCAGACCTCGACTACCAAAGCATGTCAGAAAGAGTACTCGCCAGCTGGATATCTGAGGCATTGTGTTATATCTACGGTTGGCGTGGCTGATGTGACCGATCGGTTGATTCATTCCATAATACATGACGCACGGCTAGTCCGTTGCGTAGACCACTGAGTCGGTTATCACCGTCACATCTATACGAGCAAGTTTTCCTCTAGTCTTCTTCTTTCTGTAGGATGTATCGACTGGCCACACTCCGAGAGAAAATGTCTGCACTCGGGGCTATCGCGAGCGGGAATCTGAAACGTGACGTCCCTGTGCAACGGACGTGCACGGGTCACGGAGGGAGGTTGCGGGCAACACGGCTGTCACGTTTTTCCGCCACTCATTTGTCCCTAGAATCATTACCACGTGTAGCTAGCTGCGTTTTCTTTTATCCCTGTGCGTAGTAGCACGGATTAGTAAAGAAACCAATACCGAAACGATAGGTAGGCTAAACGTATTTAGTGGTTACAGAGCGCGACATTATTAGCGCGAAAAATAAAGAGCAGGTTTTTGCTCCTCTTCTCTTCGGTTAAATAAAATGCTCATAAATTGCACCTTGTGGTGTGAAAGGCTCACAAAGGGAACCAGCCTAAGGGCGAATATTTGGTGCTTGTAAAAAAAAAACTATCTAAGTAAAATGCGAAAAAGCACCGATGCCATATATTCGCGCTAACTGCGTCGTGCCGTCTACGTTACCTACAAATCGCAGAAAGTTAAGAATCATCTAAAATGTCACACTAGCGAGTCAGGACAGATTCCAAAACTTCAGAGCTTCATGCTCTTTTAATAAAATACTTCGAAGATACTTTAGGCATTTTTAAACGACATAATTCGTTCTGTGGTAAGAAACGATAGCTGTCTGCGTAAATTCGCCTGTTCCACTTGCGGTTATTATCTCATTTTAACATTTTTTTAAAATGGAATTTGTGTAAGAGCTACTTGTATATGCGCATGCGCTTTTCATACGGGAAGCCAACCAGCAGACGGTTTTATTCGGTGACTTCTCAGCTGTGGTTATATGATTCCAGGAGCAAATAATATCCTGAAGAAATGTCTATGAATGAGAAGAGCGAGAAAAGACAGGGTGATTATAGTACGCGTGATCGGCGGATCACGCGTACTATAATCCATTTCATGGATGCGATACTAAGGAGTATCGCAACCATGGAAACATGACGCTACACATTTTTTTACGCTTCCCTGAACGGTATGCATAATACATATGCCTATCTTCGTTTGCTTAGACACTTTAGGTATGTCATAGGACATTGCTATTGTTACTGGCAGCTAAAATAATACGGTGTGTTGCTTCTTACGTTCAGGCTTTTGGTTCGGGGATTTGTTCCTCGGCGTTCTTATTGGCTAATTCAATGGATATTATGTGAGTTAGTGACTTTAAAGCTCGCATATGATCGCAAGCGTCCACGAGTTTCATGGGAGATTCGTGATTTCGAATTGACGACTCCCAATTCTTTGATTCAACTTGATGTACTAAAGTAATCTAATCGATTAATTACATGAATGTTTAGATAGAATTAAGTTAGTCTGCCCTTGTATGGCGACACTGGTTGACACTCTGTATGTGTCATTTAACAGAGGCGGGGATTAAGCCCAGCATCTGCGGGTTCTGCAGCGTGAGCCTTCACTTTCTTGCTCCGAACTGCGGTGTACTCACACACTCGGCCACCATTCCCCAATCCCATGTAAAGTAAGCTAAGTCTAGAAAAATGAGGCTTCGGAGAGTATAAATATTATAGAAAGACAATGAGGTTAACCTGGGTAGTTAGTCCTGATTGACTCTTTAGTGCAAAGGAAAGAGAAGAGGGAAATGAGGAGGAGAATATCTGCTGGGCGCGATGTCAAGGAAGAACACACACTGCACCGATCCCAGATAAGAAACCACCATCTTCTACAAGCAGAAGCCTAAACGGGTTCCTGAAAGGAAGCACAAAATCGACATCATGGATTTGGACACTTCTTGTGGTGTATCAGAGGCGCAGAGTACCTCCCTAGTAGAAAAAAGGGTTGGTCATCCACTTTTACCAAGCCAAATGTTATTATTTTTTTGCTTTTTTTTGTGACATATTTTGTAACTACACAAACTATATACAAGTGTTTGATAGGGGTGCAGCCTGGGCATGTGAACTGCTTGCTTTTCTGATCGGGTCTGAATAGCCGACGTCAAGTTGCAATCAGCGTATAACTGCTTTTGCCCGTCGAGACAAGTCATGTTGGAAGTTAATCTTGGGATCTTGGCATAATATATATATATATATATATACGAAATTATCTGTGCATTGATAATATATATATACATATTATCAATGCACAGATAATATCGTGGTGCTTAGAAATTTTGATATATCTTAAATGGCGCGCAAGTTCGTCTGCTGCTTGCACACTTAGTGCGTTTGTTTACACCCTAATGCGTCCACGCGCTTTTGTTTTCCCCCAGCCTCAACCAATGACGGAGTGAGCTTGGCTGTTTCGCTATCGCGCTTTTTCTACGCGTTATCTATGTTGCCTTTTGATTGGCGTGCCCCTTTTTGCTTTCCGATGCGCCAAAGACGCATCTTAGAACACTTTGTCGCCATATTGACAACATTTCGCTGAATTGTCACGACGAGATGCCCGCTTTCAGTTATTCTGCGACGAATTACTCTGGAACGAACGGGTTCCAGCACCATTTTATAGGCCAAAATATCGGTCACAATCTTTACAACATACTAATGGTCATAAATAAAATCAACTGAAAGGGAGTCCAGCGCTGTTTCCTTCCAATCACGCCTCAAATTATGAAGGTTATACGCTTGCAAAGTAACTGACTACGCACAGGCTGTGTAGATGCCTCCCGCCATCTACCGCGAAAGTCGTCAACCAGATGAAAAAAAAAAAAGAAAGAAAGAAAAGGTTTCAAGGCCACGAAAAGTGGGTATCAAAGCACCAAACAGCAGAGAGGGGTCAATCACCAAGAACTAACAAGCCAAACGCCGAAAATCCTGGGAATTCTCAACGCTCGTTCAGGACGTACAGTCACGTCAGTCTGACAACGGGCGATCCAGAACGGAGACAGTGCTCCGACTCCACCTTCGTCAGGTAGACGGAATGAAATTGCCAGAAAGGGAGGCACCTCCCCCTCTTTTTCCGCCCTCCTCCTTGGAAAAATAAACATGAAAAACGAACGAGCCCGAAACTGGATCAGCGTCTGAAGAAGCCAGACAGGCCACTCTACAAACAGCGCAAGAAGAAATAAAACAAAAAAACAAAATATAGCCAGACAAAAATCTGTTGCCTTTCGACGACGCGCTCTACTTTGCTGGCTTTTCTTTTGGCGGGACGAAAGCGACCAGCAGACAATTAAAGCCTCTTGGGCCCAGCCGGCAGAATATCGGCCAAGCCCGTGTTTATAAGAAGGACGCTTCGAGGAAGCGCTGGCTTCAGTTCGGTTGCTGCATTCGGTGAGGAAAGTGGCCGACATGAGATTGGTGAGTTCGCACGCCCACCCAACACAACTTCGAACTTTCCAGCGCCGTCCACTCCCTCCCCACCGCTTTCATTTAAAGAAACCCAAGGCACGTCCCAGTAAGCAGCCCGCGGTAAAGAATATGCTAGAGGAGACAGACGCAAATGTAAAGGTTGACTGTAGACAAGCCTCCATTTTACAAGGAGGAAAGAAGAAACGACGCTGACCGAATTCTGAATAGGGTTTGATAGATTCGGCCGGCGTGCAGCCGGTCATGCTTTTGGAGCAGCCTAAACGGGTTTCTTTTAAACAAGTCTCATATTTCTTCGATGTTTTTATTTGTTCTTAAGATCTTACTGGATATATAATGCTTTGTAGATTGCTCTTTGTAAGCGTTGTGCCTAGTACTTAAAGAATGTCGACTTGGAGGCAAGCAATGGTGCTTAGCGTGACAGGTAATCGAACTACTAAGAGGTCCGCTCCCGTGAAATTGTCTTGTTGAAGTGTAACGTGCTCAGCGACCCATTGGCGGATTGCTTTAACCTTGAATTTTGCCCTTCATTGAACCGTTGTTTGCTTCCCTTTTCCGCAAAGCAAGAGCTCATGTTATCTTTCCTGAGCCTTACCTAACAAGCGAAACGCTTTTGTTTCGTTTGTTCTTTTATGTTTGTTTTTACAACATACTCTAGAAGGGAGTATGCCACGGAGGTCAGCTTGTACGTTTCTGGGTTACAACACCTTTGTATTGAGGTTTGCTTCAATAGTATGTGTTTCTAGGTTCTAGTGTGCATTGTCTAAGATATGTTTGAAAATGTATGGGCTTTAATGACACAATTTAAAAGATCGTGGGCAATGGCGCACCAAGAAGGCATTGTGGAACTTGCTGGCTTTCAGGTATATTGTTATTTGCACCTCATGAACAAAGTAATTTTTGACAATGAAACAACATTTTTATGCTTGATGTACAAGTCTAATTAATTATTCTATTATGTTACAGTACTTCGAGACCTGCCAGAAAATCACCGCCGACATTTAAAAGGAATCTACATAGAAACAAACGTGAAGTTTGTTGCTGATCTGAGATCATACGCCGCAGCGGAGCAAAATATATTGAGCAGGGCAATGGGTCGGGAAGCCGAAGGACGTGCTTTTAACGAGGTATTTTGGAGCTTTGACACTTCAACTTCGAATTTGTAGGCTTGATATTTCCTACAGAAATCGCTATGTAATGATGATAGAGTCATTGCTTCACTATTCACATTGGGGAATATCCAAGTGGGGTTGACAAACACATAAATTCAACTGTTTCTGTCGTTCCGTCGGAAACAGACATACGATAGAATAAATCTGATGAAATGTTTTTTTGTTTCGCCAGTTTTGTGGTCGCATGTTTTTTTAATGTACTTACGTATGTGAATGATTCTTGAATACCCCAATTACCAAAGCCGGTGATTTCATTCGGATTTCTGGGTGGTAGTACCCTTCAGAAACCTTTTGGTATTATTCGTATGGCATATATTGACAAGGAAAAAAATATAATTTGATACAAGAGTTATAAGTAATACTTTTAAAATGTGTGTACGTAATGCAGAAATCGAGAAAGAAAAATGGATCACGAGAGAAAGGAAGAATGTAGTGACCTTGTGGTAAGAATAACAACTTATATTTTGATTTAAAGATAGAATTTTAGTTACCTCGAAAAAAAAAAGGGGGCTCTCGATGCTCCACGTGATGTCTTATAATGTATTGAGTCTATTAACAGAAAAATGGCTAGTGCTATGCGATGATTGCACAACTTATATATGAACGGGTGCTACTTTTTGTCTTGATATTGACGCTAGATATACCCTTGCCGTTGTGTTAGACATTGCTATATGTACAGGGTGTCACCAAAACAAAATTTACACGTTCTTTTTTTTTTACCGCGAAAATAAACTAGGCATCGCCGAACGCTCATTTTCTGCCCAAAGGTAGCGCTAGAGGTCACAACCAGATGCCAAAGTTTCAGCCGGATCTGATACCTTATTCAAAAGTTATAAGTGAATTTCTGAAAATTTCAATGGGAAAATGAAGCCCATTTGGCCCGTTTTCGGTTTCTGGTGCCGTAGAGCCCCATGTATTCGAAAACTCCGTCGGCCGCCATTTTCCCATTGAAATTTTCAGAAAATCACTTATAATTTTTGAATAAGATATCGGATCGGACTGAAACTTTGGCATCTGGTTGTGACCTCTAGCGCTACCTTTGGGCGAAGAATGAGCGTTCGGCAACGCCTAATTTATTTTTTCAATTAAAAAAAAAAAAACGTGTAATTTTTTTTGTGACACCCTGTATAGTTATATCCATCTTGAATGTAACTGCTTTGATCTTTTGTTTTAAGTGCTTCTGCATTCAATATATTTTGTGTGTGGACAGGTATGAGACGATTCCGGCAAGCCTTTGATTCTTATTTGAACACGAGCCAGTGCTGAGTAGAACGGATACCTTTAAAACAGACTCGCTTTTTTAATTCAGAGGAACACAGATATGTAAAATTTTTCCGGGGAAAGGGAAGATCGGTTTTTCTTTTGACGGCAAATGGCATTAAAATGAAGGCCGCGATTGAGACGACCGAGTTTCGCTGCTACAGTTTGCTCGAACACCAACCCCGCAAGCTTCATTCTTTTACTAGGAAACGCACTTGCACTATCCGCATTATGTAGAAAGAGAAAGGGTGACAGATGTACTTAGTTCCGCTTAACCGTTCTTTCTCTACGCTTCGTGGTTGTCGCTACACGTATGCAGTATAGTATAGGAAATACATCAAAATGTCGTAGTTTTACATTATTTTGCCAAACACATCAATGCTAACTTGTAGGCAAAAAAAAACATACAAAACAACAACCACATGGTTCTAACTACCGTGTTTACTCGAGTAATAGACGCACTATATATGAACAAGGCTCTTGCGTCTTAGTTCCCACAGAACACATATACAGCCAATCATTGCGTTGCGCATAAATAGCATAGCGAATAACCAGATCGACAACACAATTCTTCATAGAAAAGCAATCTTCACAGATGGCATCTTAGCGCCAAGACGTTATCTTTGTCCTGTTACCGCTGGAATCATGCTGTCGACCGCGGTGATTGGCAAACCGCGTGCTCTGCAGAAAAACGAACCCTCAGGTTTTCGTCATAAACAGTGCGGCTATTATTCGAGTAAATACGGTAAGCACTGTTGCCTCTAACTTTTCTTTACATTTGTTATCATGTGTGACAGGTTGCATGGATGCTGCTGCTGTTCGCGGTCAGATGTGCCACTGCCTACGATCTCGCGAACCTTCCGAACAGAGGCATCAACCGCTACGCCATGGACACCCTGGAGGGATCAAACAGCGGTCCCACCCCCAGATACGTCTACATGAGACAGCAGGGCCTGGGACTGCCCTTCAGCCAGAGTCTGGAGAATGGATATGGGCATAGCCTAACTCAGAGTTTAAGCGGTTTTGGCGGAGGCTCTGGAGGCCACATTGGTGGTAGCATTGATGGCGGCCTTGGCGGCCGTGTACACGGCAGAGCTGGTAGCAGACACATTGGCCAGGGTGTACCCTTCGGCCTCAACCACGGCGTTGGTCAAGGCCTAGGCTACAGTCTGGGTCGAGGAACGGGTCACGCTCTCGGGCACGGCATCGGCCACGGGTTCGGACATGGGTTAGGGCACGGTTTCGGACACGGCCTGGGCTTGGGGCAAGAAATGAAGCATGGTTTAAGCTCCGGTTTTGATCCAGGGCGCGGAATTTTCGGCGGGGGGCTGCACGACGAATTCTCTTATGGGGAGAGTAAAGTTATTCAGGGTCCAACGTACCTAGTGCACACCTACGGAGGAGAGCACGAGCGATACGGGAGCAGGTCCAAGAGTTACGCGGGCAAGAGCCACCGAGGCGGGCATCGAAACCGGAAGGTGATCGTCCTGAAAGAACGAGATCGCCATGGTCACTGAGCCTTGCTGATCGATGCACAGAAAGAGAAGAGAGCAGAATCAAAGGTGATACTTAATCCCGGTAACTTCGATGAATCGATCATGTCTCATTTTGATTTGATTCTAACATTAGCGCCTTTCTGCGTCATCGGTACTGTTGGTGAAATGAATTTAGATTTTTACTATCCTTTTAAGGCTCTTGACGAAATTGTAGAACTGAACGAAACCTCCGGCATCTTGTTTTCGCGACTAACTTCTGTTTTGCATGGCGGCGGCTGAGCTAAATTTTGATGCTTGGAGTATACGTGGTTTATGACACTCGACTGGATTTATCTAGTCTTTGTTGAACAAATTGCTTGCGATAGCTAACCTTGCTCCAAGCTTTGTATTCAGTAATCCTTCTCGCTCGTTTTGCCCCCCAACTTCAAAAAAAAAAAAAAAAATACAGCTTTTAATGTCAGGAGCATCGCAGAAAAAGTACAAAACACTATGGTGACTGACTGCTTAAGAATCGCCTACGTGGCGAGTCGCGAGCCTTTTATTATAGCTCCGCAGCAAATGATATTAGGGCCTTCGCCAATAAGAACGCCGATGAAGGAATCACGAAGGGCGGGGAATAAAGATGATAAGCCACACCCTGCGATTCTTAAGCAGTCAGCTTGTATAAAGACATTTCTATATGGCGATTAGAAAAATGGGTTAGAGACTTTATTTCAAACTTCAGTCGATTCTCTCTCACGTGTTCCTACGAGAATTGGCATTTTCTGTGCAGGGGACGGGGTACATGGCTTAGCTGGGTCTCCTTTCGGCTACCAAATTATTTGCCACACCTAGTTTTATAAGGGTAATTGGCTTCCTTCGTAAGGACTTTCTATTATCTAGCTGCTGCGTGCCTTAATTAATTCGGCTCAAAGAACAGATAACCATTTGGGAGTCCCTAACAATGTAGGCAGCGCTAATTACGAGCAGGCACAACGAGCTCAATTTGAAGCTGCCCCAGTTTCTTTCTTGTGTGATTCCCATGAAGAGAAGCAACATCAAGAGAAGGGATGTGGAGAGAGGGAAGAACTGGGAAACCAGGAAGGTAGCTCCAGTCGGCATAAACGTCCTCCTCGGCTTTTTTTTTCTTTTTTGGAAAGGGGGAAAGAGGGGGGGGGGGGGGGGGGCTTGTCTTTCATCTTATTTTACTCCGAAAATGCACTTTCTCGACATCTTCAATTAGAATTGGCGTCGTTACAGTTTTATATGTGTTAACCTAGCGCATTAGTTGAAGTGTTCCTGGTTATCTGATACGCAGTCTTGCTTTGTTTCTGTGCAATTTTTCAGGTACAACAATGCGGAAGTTCATCACGAGCGTCGGGACAAACAATCAAATAACAACAATCTTGGCTGATAAAATTGGGAGAACGCAGTCTCAATGACCTCCTTCGCGGAATCTCGACGAATCGCTCCTTTCTCATCGGTCACAAAATCACTACTTTATTCCTTTGTAAATAAACATACCATGTTGAACAGTCATACTTGATCTTCTTTAGGCTGGACTCTTTATGAAATAGGACGGCGTCAAAGAGCTCAAAAACACAATTAGAACAACTTTTCAAAGCAGCTTCTCTTGGATCGTTAATGGCGTAATAACTGAAAAACACAAGTAATGTGTTAGAATATTTATAGCTGAATAAAATAATTTCTAATTATATTATTTGAACCGGTTAGAATACGCGGGAATAAAACAAAACATATGCGCAAGTTTGGGGTTTGGTGTTTACAGCGTTCTCGATAGTAGGGAATACCATGACTGCCGGTGCATTTCTGAAGAATACACGCTCTTCGGCAAACGTTTACAAGGTATACCGACTAATCAGTGATGCCTGATTTATTTCTGTCTACGGGCGGTTGTAGGGGCGTCAGTTCCATGCCCTATATTTCATTTTTATTTGACTTTTTTTTCCCCTTCTGATACGTGCAATCCTCGCAATATGCATATTTTGAAGTGCAGAGAGAACATGTTTATGAATATAATTCATCATAAGAGAATATGGAAGTGTGCTTGATTTTTATTTCGCACATTGTGGATGTTCAGCTTTGTCTTCCGCGGAGAAGTGGGCCGCTCAGAGACTCAATTAATGTTTTGCAGCATTCGAAATGTATTATTAGTTTTGAGTGGCTATTGTCTAAAGGTCCACGCGTGTGTGGCTCTGGTTCTTAAGTCAATATGTCGCTACGTCTATTGTTAAAAACAATAAAAACAGAATAAGATTCATATCAAGCTCCTCAATGTCGGCTAGACAGAGAAGTAACGCTTATTAACGTGGCCTCTTTGAATCTCGCTCAAGCGCTTGGACAATCGATTGGGAGCACGCAGAAGTTCCCACAAATAGCTCCCATTCAAAGTGGGCCAAAATCAAAAGAAGGTCATTCGATGCAGAAACGTCGTAGTCTTCCATTTTCCTCGCTCTAAGCTTCTTTTTCATGGCCTTCATGCGTTGAACGCAGTAACAATGTGGGTAGAGGAGTACACCCACTTTCGGCAAGCTACTAAACTTCTGCCTGTTTAGTGTCTGCAAAAAAACAGTAGTGGTACCGTCTGTGTATCAAAGCAAAGATCCAGAATGATAAAAAGAAAATATAAATTCAATAATTACCGAGGAACCTTCGATTAAGAACAATAATCTCCTCGTCAATGCATCAAGCAGCAATCATACTCAGAATTCATCCGGGCAGCGTTTTTAATACTGTGTGATACAAATACGTGATAAAAACGGCATACGAAAATCGCACTACTATAAGAATATTTTCTTCTGGAAACATGCTAATGTTAGCTAGAAGAACATTACCAACTTCGAATTTATATCGCCTGTGTAGGATTGAAATGCTTAGAAACAATAACTAACTTAAGAACAGAATCAAAAGCGTTTTCAGAGGCATGTACATGAGTTAAGTTGTTATAGTATTACGAACTAGGGTTAAAATAACTCAATCTGTGAAGTAATCCCTGGATTGATCTGGGGATTGATCTGGGGATTTTCTAAATCAATAAATAGAGTGAGCTTTGTAAGCCAGAAGAACTTTCAGGATCGATCCGGATATGTGTCTGCATGGCTTCTATGCTGAGCGGTTTTGCCCAAGCGATTTTTGTCAATAAAGCAACAGTTTACGCAGGAATGCACAGTTGCTAGTATAAGTCAAAAGCTCCTTTCTAGTTATGTTCACCGTGTTATGGTTTCATGAAGAAGTCATGCCGCAGCATTCGCCTCCATGGGTGATGTGAATATAGTGAAAACGCTAAGGGTTTCATACTGTCTCCTGGGTTGTTTTTAAGATATATTGGGGGGTTCACACACAATGGGGGGTTCACACACAAAAAAAGAACGAACATTTAAGCTATTAAGCACGTTTCTATGAATAACTAAAACTATTTTTTTTTTTAGAATTCGAAGGCAAAATAAAGCAAAACAGATAATTTGGGGCTTTTTGTTTGGCCAATTTAGTAGCAGGCTGTCAGCGTTAAAAAGAACACACACACACACACACACACACACACACACACACATATATATATATATATATATATATATATATATATATATATATATATATATTATATATATATATATATATAGTATGCTCGCAAGCTACAGAGCACGTGACACCTAAACTAATTGCACTCATCACGAGCAAATCTCTGCTTAGGTATACCAAGAACATGGACCCCAAAAAGACCCAAAGTGTGAACAGTACAAAACAATTGCCGATATGAAATTAAAGCCGAATTTCCCGATAGCCTTTACTCATTTTAGAAAACCGATAACATGCCAATTGCATCGGGCATTCTACATAAAAAATACTCTCACAATTAAATAATTGAAAAGCGAAATAAGAAAGCGAGATCAACTCGAGTTGATGGTATATCTCTCAGTCAAATTAAAATGCCGTGAAGTAGCTGAATTGATCCCAGCTCCTACTATGTTCACGAAAAATTCCACCAACACGCGGTTCCTTGTTCTCGGTAACGCGAGCAATCTAGCCAATGTCCCCATCCGAAGTGAAGAGCAACAAGAAGGACGCGTAGAAGAACGATTTCTTTCTTAATAACGGGACTACTACTAGGCTCTGTGCGCGTACAAAAACATAAATAATGACAAGAAAAAAAAACAAAAAAACATTGAAAACACACGTAAACGTCGTCCTCAGGCTTGTATTTCCTCTTTGCCGGGAGTTCGCCGCGGTGGGGGAGGAGGTGTCGTATTTACAGTCGGCCTCGAAATGCGTAGCAAGGTCAAGGAACCGTTGTGACATGGACGCGCGATCGGCGCAACGATACCCGGAGGGACGCAGCCGCCGCAGCGGAGGGACGCGCGCTTACGTGAGGCGAACGCCGAACGGGAACGAAAAGCTGCCAGAGAGATAACCGGGGGGCGGGGAGGGGGAACAAACAACGAGGCGAAAAGAAAAAAAAAACACACAAACACCGCGACAAAACAGATCAAACACGCGAAATAATTGTGATGGCGTTTTCGGGGAGAGGATTTTGGGGAAAGAAGGGCGCGCGCGGCTCGAACGGGTACGTTGCTCCAATTGGGAAATGCAGCAGTCTGCACGCAATGTGCCGAGAGCCCTTTACGGCGACAATGGCGGGGACACCGCCAACGGGCGCGAGCGAAATTGAAATATGGCATTTTGAACGCGAACGAAAAAGAGAAATAAGTTTGTCGAGCCACCGCAGTTCGGGGCAACAGGACGGAGGAAATGATGCATATAGTATGATTGCATTTTATTTAGTGCCGGGCACCGATTCAGGAGCTTTCAATGACTAATGACTCGCTTAATCGGTTTGATATCGGTGTTAAAACGAAGGAATTATAAATAAGAATTTTCGCATAGGAGGAACAACATCCATGGGGTTTGTTCTGCCTGATCGGTGAGAAAAAAATCGCGTTTTAATAAAGCAATTTTATTTAATTTGTTAGCTTGAATGACACAATTGAAACGTCATGAACTAGCGAATGAAGTAGGGAAAAGGA